GAGCACAGGATGCTCTCCACTGCACACCTGTAGAAGGAGGTGAGGACTGAGCTTCCCAGACCAGCTCGCCTCAGCCGTCTGAGGAAGTAGAGTCTCTGATGAGCTTTCTTGATCAGGCTGGTGGTGTTGTTGCTCCAGCTGAGGTTGTCATTCATGTGTACACCCAAGTACTTGTAGCTGGAGACCACTTCCACCGCAGATCCTCTTATGTTCAGGGGGGTGTAGGTGTTTTTGTTCCTTCTGAAGTCCACAATCATCTCCTTTGTCTTCTTCACATTGATGTGAAGGTTATTCTCTCTGCACCAGCTCTCCAGGTGTTCCACCTCTTGCCTGTAGCTGGACTCATCATTGTTTGTGATGCATCCCACCACCGCTGTATCATCTGCAAACTTTACAATGTGACAGCCTGGATGGGTAGCTGCACAATCATATGTGAGCAGAGTAAACAGAAGGGGGCTCAACACACATCCCTGAGGAGAGCCAGTGCTGAGGGTTATGGTGGAGGAGGAGAGGTTGTGGATCCTCACTAACTGTGGTCTGTTTGTTAAAAAGTCTAGTACCCAGTTGCAGATGGAGGGGCTTAGTCCTAGTGTGGATAGTTTGTCCATCAGGGTTTGGGGGATCATGGTGTTGAAGGCAGATGTGAAGTCCACAAAGAGCATACGGACGTAAGAGTTTTTCTGCTCCAGGTGGTTGAGTGCAGTGTGGACCACAGAGGAGATTGCATCCTCTCTTGATCGGTTCTCACGGTATGCATACTGATGAGGGTCCTCGTTGATGTTGATGGTTGTTTTGATGTGAGTCATGACCAGTTTTTCGAAGCATTTAGCGACTATCGGGGTGAGGGCCACTGGCCGATAGTCATTCAGACCAGTCACTGTAGAGCTTTTTGGGACTGGGATGATGGTGGCAGTCTTCAGGCAGGTGGGAACTGTCTCCAGTGTAAGTGAGGTGTTAAAGATGTCTGCCAGCACCTCACAGAGCTGATCAGCACATTCCTTCAACACTTTTCCGGGGATGTTGTCTGGGCCAGTTGCTTTGTGCGGATTAATCCTCCTGATATCTACCAGAGTTAAGTTATTACTTTTTCAAAGTAAATATCTAAATATGTTTGTGTTTCTTGCTTTAGCACTGAGGCAAGCCCGCAGAGACAGACAACTTGTGAGCAAACGGCTCCTAAATGTGGATGAGGAGCAGACGGAGGTTACTATGGAAACAACCCCAGGAGAACTGGTAAGTGGTTAATATTTAGATTGATCATTTATGAGGAGTTTTAATCAAATGAAAGCATTAACTTAATGGTTAATATCCCCAGGACGTGGTCAGTTTGTTTCACAAACTTCAACACAGCAGGTCAGCGAAGGAGGCCCACCTGAGAGCTTTGAGTAAAGCTTTGCGTGACCCATCAGCACAACTCACCTTCATCAAGTATGGCTGTGACTTCTGCTGCCATGTCAGCTGAGTTTAAAGGATGTTGACCTCAATTTCTAATGGATTTTGTTTTTGTGTGAATCTGTCCCGACAGACTGGAGAACTGTATGCATCTGCTGGTCGGTCTCCTCACCGGTTCTGACGCTCGGTGTCGTCTGCAGGCTGTTCGGTGTCTTCACGAGCTGTCTCACTCTCCGCACACCAACGTAGCCTCGGCCTGTCTGCCGGCCACTCCCTATCTACTAACATACCTGTCTGGTCAGAGCACCAAATTCACAGTGGGTCCAAATTTCAAGGAGTGCAATTGATATTAACACCTAATTATTTAGCCTGACTTTTTAACATTTCGTCTGCGTGCAGGAGTTGTGTCTCTACACACTTGGAAACCTGTGCCCAGACAGTGAGGTCGTAAAAGAGAAACTCCTTGCTCAGGGAATCATACCAGCACTGGCCAGCTGTTTGGAGGTACGATGGCTGTTCCATACTTCATGTTAGATTTGTAATTTCAGCCCCTTTTAGTGCCAGAAAACAAAATACTTACAAAGTTTGTTCAACTGATTCAAAGTTAAAAAGCTGATTTTCTTTGTTTGTCCAGAATCAGAGACATAACCTTGCAGTGGTGGAGGCTGTGGGCTTCACGCTCTCGCAGCTTCTTCAGACCAACCATGCAGCAGAGAAAATAATCCC